ACAAACTGCAACTTTAACTTTAACTTCAACTCCAACTGTAACTGTAGCTAACTGCAACTTTAACTTCAACTCCAACTGTAACTGTAGCTAACTGCGACTCCAACTAACAAATATTTGTGCTACATGCACTTAAATAATATTGGTAAAATTAATGAGATGACGTCAAGTAGAAGCTTGATTGACATCTCTTACAATCATTTCTATTGGCTAACTAAAAGTAAGCTTAATAATGAGCTAGTTCCCAATTCCTAAGGAGGAATTTGAACTATCCTAAAATTATAATATTTATATTATATGAAATTGTTTAGCCACCAAACAGTCACTAGAATACATTGTTACCTAGCAGGCACATAATATTTAGCAGTTAATCGAAATTAACAGAGACTTCTCTACTCCAAAGTGGAGCTATTAGTCGATTGCTGACAGCGCCCAGTTACTTAATATTCAGCAAGAATTGGACAGGCACCTCCCTATCATTACTTAAAAATATCTAAAACTAACCTTCTACCATTCAATATTCACACTTAGAAATATTATCGCAAATCCTTTAGCTGTTTCTTTCTATCTACCGAAATGTCAACCAACTTTTACCGATTTTCCATTATCGTTGACATTTCGGTTTCCCAAACATGACTTTAATTTAATTAAAAACATGTTCTTGCTGTTTTCTGATTCCTATCTTGTCATGTTTTTCCTATGCATCCTTTTCGGCCATCTAATCCAGATGTCTTTTTACAGACTCTCTGGCGTTCACTGAGCCACAAATGGTTTTCCTCTTATGACAAATTAATATCGATAATTCCTTCTTTACAAAATCATCCGGCAACGGAAATTCTGTGGTGTGTACAATGTACGTACTATACGTACGAACGTCCGTGCGCACCGACAGACGAACGGACAGACGGAAGGAAAGACGGAAGTAGCCTATTCAAGCCATTAATATCAACTCTATGGGTTACCATGTTTTTAAAAGTATGGTGATCCGTTATAACGACGCTTAAATTGATGTGTATAGACTATAAGACTGAGAATCCAAGTTTAGGTGAGTAAAAGCTCTTGGCAGTCAATAGCTCCCAGACGGTTTTTTAAACCAGAAGTACAGTTCGACTTTTTCAGAAGCCGATCGCGTTAGCAAAAAAGTAGACATGCTTTCTAAAGAAAAGAACGTTAAAAAAAATTAATAAAAGAAATATTTAAAAAAATAAAAGGTTAGAAAAAAGAAAAAAATACTCTTACTGAATACAGTGGGAATCGAACCCGCGTCCACCAACTTTAAATAAATAATTAATTCCAAAATACAGAAGAAGAAAAAATAGTGCCTTCATGCCATACCCCTAGACATCCGCTGGGTCATCGTATGGACTTCGGACATGACGGCGATTAAGTCCCTCTGCCCTTGGGTGTACGGATTACGCAGGATAGTGTTCTAGCCGAAGCATCAGGGGAGGGACTAGCCGGCCCCCAGACCATATCTACAGCTAATCCCTTGCACTCTGCCACGCACTGGCACGTTGATTTGAGGTGGAAAATAATCTAGTCTATCTGGTGCATTGTTTTCATGGCTATTGTTATGCTAATTTCTCGAAATCATGGCCCAGTGAAAAAAACTTGGGCTTACAAGACACTGAGTCAAGCACGTTTGAGTGAGATTAGTACTTGGATGGGTGACTTGAAATTCATAGTTACTCAACACGGTTTTTGAAATTCTTTTTTAACGATTTTTTTTAAAGATACTCGAATAGATATAACCTATATAAATAGACCTTATAAATGTTTTTTTAGATAAATATTTTCTTTGTCAGAAATTGGCATTCATAAATGTTCTTTAAAACTTTAAGCTTATTAGGATCGGAGTGGTTGTTCCTCAAACATCACCGCAACATACATAAATATAAGCTCATTTTGTCTAACCATTTTGGCTGGAAGAGATAAATAGATAGATCGCAAACACTCTTTTTTATATATATTTCATTCAACATTAATAAGTAAATTATCTATATAAGATTAGAACATTGGAAGAAATTCGATAGGACCCCCTAATTTAAAAGACCACAACGAAAAAGAAAACGATTTATATAGGAACCCACTTCCAAGGTATTCTTCGCTTGTCCCAAAAAAAAACTTGCCAATGCTTATCACCAGTTCCAACTGTAAGCATGTGAAGGCGCCTCTAGCAGCCGCTATACAGTCTATGTACTGTATGATCCCAGAGCACAGCTCTAACCAGTTTGAATTAGTTAGAGTTATTTGAGAGGAGGGAGGAAAAACCAGAGGACCGGAAAAACCCTCGGAGTCAGAAAGAGAACCAACCAACTCAGCTCACATGGGGCGACTGGGATTCGTACCCCGGACCAAAGAGGTTAGCGTTCTACCACCGCGCCATCCTGACAACGTTTCCATTGCGAGGCTGTGTGCATAAATATGCTCAGTGATTCGTAGCAGGCGAGAAAAGAATCAACTATCACGTAGCCTTGTGCTGAAACCTTTGTGAGTGACACGCAAAGCCGGCATATAAGTGGGAAGTTAACTAATAAAAATATAATGCACCAAGCAACAGGTAGTCAGGACACAGACAGATAATTCAAAACCAATGAAATGTGGCAAATGCCAAATTTTACATGGAATATGACCAAATTCTCTACTTTCGCATACCCATAAAGCTTTGCGACTGGGGTAAGCAAATGTAAAACCACAAACGGCGTCTCGTGTTGTCAAAGACGGATTGAATACTCCCAACGAGTTTCAAAGAAGTTTCACATTTTAATAACATTTTTGCAATAATATATTTCATGCATGATTATACAGTGTAATTTACAATCTATCTAAGTCTTAGGTCATGATTGAAGCATCTTTTTGGTTAAGTAAACTATAGTCTGCGTTGCTTGGGGGTCTGCCGTATTCGTCCTCATCGCAACACGGCAGACCGCCGAGAAACACAGGCTAAGTATTGTTGTTTTTTCTTGAGAGAGTTCTGCATGGATGCTTTGTCAAATTTCCCTTATAACATTCTACAAGTATTTGAACTTAATCAATGAACCCTGGTATACTGAAATTTATAGTGCATTCAGTGTTAAATACGAAGGTCAATCAATAAATGATTTTAAAACTAGCACAATTTGTTAATTGTTTATATAGTTTAGCTTGTGTTTTATATTTGCAATTGGATTAGAACAGAAACAACGAGCACTATAATTTTCTAATAGATAATCAATATCTAGCATCTTTTAGTATTGACGCATTGAGATAATTATGATTAATCCATTACTTTCTCAGAAGCACATTATATTTTAGTACTTCTACAAATATGCAGTTCTTAGTTATAATTTTATTAATCATATAAACTACTATATTGTACGTTAAACTACAATTTTTCGAGCAATATTTGATTTTCTTACATTTTTTAAAATTTCATCCAATTTTCAAAGCAAGCTAAGCCTATACACCTAATTAAAAAAACGTTGTTGGGTTCCAAAAAAGGTTTTATCATCGAAGCTAAGTCCGAAGGGGCAGCCAAACAGCTCTCCAGCGTACATCTTTGTAGAATGGCTTTGGCATGTTAATCTCGGTCGCCGACTTTGCTCTAATGTGCATTTTTACATGTCTATATGCAAATATGATACACATTTCGGAGTACCCAAAATCCTTTTCGGTCTTAACTTCGATGATATGATCTTCTCGAACCCGACAAGGTGTTTTTTCCAATTAGGTGTATACTACATGCTACAACTGTCTACTTGATTACAGTTTATACCAATATGCTATAATATTTTTTTTGTATTTTTGTTATTTTGTTTTTCTTTTCTTCCATCCATCTAACGCTAAATCTAACTACAATTCTGAACATAACTGTTCGGATTCTCACCATTTTTGCTCTTACATTATGTTAAGTTGAAACGATACTACCTACACTAGCTTTTAACATACATACATAAACTTTATTAACGTGTCAAACTTCTAGCATGCCACATGTAGCACACTAATCGTGGACACCAATAAACCTCCCTTCCCCTTTAGAGACAAAGTCGTGTCTTAACAGTCGAGTCATAACGAAACCTTTCAAGGCATCATTGGATATGAGGAGATCATGTAATGGGCATTTTGCAAAAGTTTACAATTGATTGTCCTAAAAGGGAAAAAGTCCCAAGAGTCCTTATTGTTAAGGCATATTGTATTGGAACAAATAAAGGGTCAAAGACTTGCTATTAAGTAAAATCAGCATTTGTATAAAATGAACAAAACGCGCTGTACCGATTTCTGTTACCTTCCCAGCATTTTAAAGCATTGCATGTCGTGACCGCGATACTTTCTCTAATTTTAATTGGCTGATTTTTTTCTTTCGCAATGTGATTGGTCTGGCAGTACCGTGTCCATAGCCGCGCCGTGCTCTTGCCGTGTTCCGCCGGGTATTTGATTGGATGGAGAGTAAATTCTCGAGCAATGTGATAGGTCTGGTGTATCCCTTGCCGTGTCACGACCGTGTGCGTGCCGTGAGCTTTTCACAGTCATATACACGGAAACTGCTTTATGTACACTACACCTCTACAACTTCATATCTTGCTGCCTTTTGTCTAATAATCACTGCAAGATATAGCTATTTCTTATTTTTTTAAATTTTATTTATGTGACAGTTTCCTCGTTAGTTGCGGCGTTTCGTTCATGTCGCAAGACTCTAGCTCCTCGATGTTCTAAGAACGTCGACTCAGTTGTCTCAATTCCTACTACATTGCTGATTCCCGGAAAAATACGAGGGTGAATCACAAAACATCCCCCGAAAAGATTTTTCAATCCGTTCCGATAATTCTCGCTAAATATGAAGTAAATCAATGGATTGGTGAAGCTACTCAACCATGCAAGATAGAAAGTACTAAACGCTAGGTTCTCGAGACCACACGGTATGCTCCAGTTCCATTTATAAATATGAATGAAGAGAAAGATGTGAAGTGGGGCCCAAGAGATCGCAAATAATAAGACGATGCTGATCGCCAACCGAACGATGCGTTTGTTCTGAGTGTTATCGCGAACCGATCTATTAGCGTAATCGTTTCCTACGACCTGCCTCGCTTTGATCTTGTAAAGAATATATGAATACAGTACGGTAATGACGACCAGAGGTATTGCGTAGTGGGACACGAAAGAAAACATATAGAATCTCTTTTGGGCCTCATTTGTGTCATCGAATGCTGGCTCCCACTGAAGAATGCACCTAAACGTCCTTTCCTCCTTTGAAATTAACACAAGCCTGAACGAATAAAAGTACGGAGCATTATATCCCATGGCAACCACCCAGGTCATCACCACTGCAACCGTGCGCCATCCGACACTGGATCTCCTAGCCTTTAGAGGGAAAACGACTGCATAGAATCGCTCGATAGAAATAGCCACGTGACTAAGGATCGAAATGGATGTGGAAAGGTCTTGCAAGAAGTGAACGAGCTTGCAAAGAAACGACCCAAAATCGCCTTTGATAAGCCAAAAATGATCGGAATGTATAAATGCGATTTCTTTTGGAATAACAACTAGTGGAAATATCAAGTCCGATACGGCCATATTTGCAATGAAGAGATTTGTGATCGTACGCATTTCTCGGTTCCTATATAACACGGCTAGAACTAGCGCATTACCCGCGAGAGAGAAAATACCCAGAACGCCTAGCGCTACGGTCATGACGATTTCTGAAGTAGCGGAGTTTAAGAGATAAAGCGTGCATAACTGATCATTGTAGGTTGTGTTGTTTGACATTATTCTAGGCCTAATTCAAACAGAACTAATAGATTTATATGTAACTTAAGAATATGCCTTGACGTACCTGGATGTACCCACCCAGTGATGTACCTTGTCGTACCTCTGTGGACGTGTCCCTCAAAAATGTGCCTCGACGTACCTAATAACTATATACTCTCATTAACTATGTAATTAATTAACTAATTAATTTTTCAACGTGCCACAATCCCAATGATTAGCCTCTGTATAAGTAAGTAAAGAACTGTGATACACCTTAATGTACGTACCACCTTTGGGCTATGGTCTCCTTAAACTTTGATGTCTTCGAGATTGTTCCTTGAGATATAACTAGTGAATGAAATCTAATTGAAGGTTCTATATATTATCTTTCCTGAAATTCTGTGGATTGTGATCCTTTTATACTTGTGAATCACTTCTCGTTTTATTTCTATTGCAAGTGCTGGCTAGTCCTTCTTTATCCTTCAGCTGGCATCACAGTCGTCAATTTGGTTAAGTAGTTTTGCTAGTCCACTCTGTTTAAATAAAACTTTGCTGCTTGTCTCTTCCTTGGATCTTCCTGGCTCTTCGTAGTTGTTCTTGAGAATTCTGTTTTCTTAGTCCATAAAACACGTTATTCATCCATCAGACTGCACGTTACATTCAGCAAGGCTCATGTCAAATCGATTCTTACTAATCCTTCTAACTTGGTATGTATTTTCTACACAAGAAGATACTGTGTTCTTGTAACCGGTAGTAGACTTTGGTTCTGTCAAAGTGTGTTTCTCAATGAACCATCAAAGCCTGAACTGAAGGAAAAAACAAGGATTAAGCAGATTTATTAAGCAATTGCAATAAAGGAAGTATCGCATGCATCTACACACTGAACCCAGCCAATAGAATAACAAAGAAATTAACAAAAAAGATAGAATAAACAATGAACAAGTTAATAAAATCCGACAAGACGACCGAACGAAATGGCTAACGTCAACATATTATGTACTTATTGACTGAGTTAGGTCGGGCCGTACGGGAAAATATTTGGCTCGAGGTGATGCCGTACAAATGACAGAGAGCCAAATATTTTCCCGTACGGCCTGACCTAACTCAGTCAATAAGCATTTTATCTTATGACCCTCACGAAAAAAATAATAAAAAAATAAAAGGAAGAAATAGTAAATAAAAGCTAAAAAAGAGAAAGCGCGCGGATTCGAGCAGGGCCGTACGGACGGGCCCTCCTCGCTCAAAGCCGTACGGCCCTGCTCGCGCCATTTTCCCGAAGGTTTTTCTAAGAGCACGCGCCCGAGCAGATACGGGTCATATGATAATATATGATATCAATATTTTATGTAGGATTAATATAATTAATAAATATACTATAACAGACTTATATGCCATGTAATTTGTGTTAATAGTTTTTAATTCTAACGACAATGATTGTTGATGGTGGTGATGTTTATGTTTTATTTATATTTAACCGGTTTTATACTGACTTTTCGGATCTTACAATTATATTTTTTCCTAAGCACAGACTGCGGCATATAAAGCTATTAGCCTTCAAACCAAAAAGACAATAACAGCCTTGGTTTAATTCTAAATGGCTGTTGGCGTTTGAATTTTGTATTTTCGACAACACATCTTTAAAAGAACTCCGTTATACGGTGACTCCACATATCAGAGATCATTTAAGCTATGAAGGCAATATTATGATTATCATCTTAAGGCGTCGCCATCAGTCCTACTAGAAGGTTTCACTTTACTATTGCCAGTATTTATTTTAAATTTAAGGCTGCATGACGCGACGAGTAAATGTTATCACTAAATAGCGTGCTCGTGTTTGATAACAGAAAATATATGCTTTAAAAAACGTTTTTCAATATAAAGTTCCAGACATTGCTTCCGGCATTTTACATCACGAAAGAAAATAAAAGATTAATTCCTCTTGGGGCTTCTATAAGGTTGGGATTTATTTGGATGGATGGATGGATGGATGGATGGATGGATGGATGGATGGAGGGAGGGAGGGAGGGAGGGAGGGATGGATGGATGGATAGATGGATGGATGGAAATACCATGTGCTAGTATCAGTTTACAAACCATAAAATAAAATGCTTTAATCTGTTCATACGTGTGTCCTTTTGTATTTTGTAATTCCCTTGATTATATATCTTGCCTTCAGCCATAATAAAGCCTGTAAAACGCTTAAGACAAACGAATGACAAGATGTCATAATCCATCGGTCCAAGTTAAGCCAAAAGCGGTGTATATTTGTACTAGGTACAATTGCTCAACATCGGAGTATGACAAACAGTTATTCACTCCAAATTCATCAGCTATCTTTATTAACTGTTCTTAAATCTTTAGCCATGGCAATTTGGTTTTTAAAAAACTCAGGAACATTTGTAGTGTCCTTCTTAAGGTGGCTTCATATAGTTTCGGGCTTTAGAACAGAATGGAACTAGAAATCATTTTATAGCAAATATACAGATCTATATCTTGATATCTGATACGTTAACCATATTAAAGACTATGAGTTTAGGAATCATTTTTCGTGAAAATGATCACGTGAATAGTTACCATAGCAGCGACACATCAGCCACAAAACGGACCCTTTTTGCCATTAAAAAGTTAAAATCTCGAGTTTCCCGTGGTCAATCTTTTTTAGATTGTGTAATAGGAAAGTTTGTTTTGTTACCTATTATATGAAAGCGTTTTATTAAAATTGTGACTACAGAAACCAAGATATTAAAGAAATATCGATTTTCAAGATAAAAAGTTTTCTGTAGTCAAGATATTTTTTATGTTGCTTCAGTCGCCTTATCAATCTACGAAGAAAAACTATAGGAATTTAAAGATATTTGACCACGTAGTTTTCGAGTTATTATTATTTTTAAATAACTTATGCAACCGACTTTTCGTGACGTCATAAAAATAAGACTTCTTCAAGTTCTGGTACTGCGCATGCTCGTGCACAATCTGGCGCGCGCGAACAAGAACTATATGGAGCCACCTTAAGGCTATTAAGAAGCAATTAAATCTATGTGTTTTATCAATGTTTTTAAGAGAGGCCTTTTAGTCTGTGATTCGAGTAGGCTCCAGGCGTTCAGTAGATAGCCGTTCTCAAGAAATTGTGTTTGTTAGTAGTTTGAAAGAATGCAGATAGAGTATGAATAATATGTTAAAAAAGTGAAAATTTGGCGAGGGGGTGGGAGAAAGAAAGAGTGAGAGTTAGCTCGGAGGGAGGGAGGGAGGCGCAAAGCGAGAGGGAGGGAGAGAGGAAAGGAGCAAAGACACCTAGAGATAGCAAGACTAACTCTGTAATTCTGTTAAGATTTGGAGAGGACTTGGAGGGATTGTACGCAGATGTTTCATCAATCAATTGATTTTAATGATACCAATTTATGTTTGACGTTTTGCCGTATCCAGCAAAAAATTAATTAACAAATACATATGAAACTAGTTTTATAACCACGTTCATTAAGACTGTATTTGTAACCTCATTTCAGATAGGATGTAATAAGGCAAATATCATTGCCGCCTTGTTGACTGATATAACAAAAAATGGGGGGGAAAGAAGACTTCAATCTTAAGTTAAATCCAACGAAATATTGCCTCGAGCCTCGACGGAAGCTTTTGCCATTTTTACTAAAGACTTCCTATTTACTCGCTTTTCGGGAAGTATCACGAAATATTTTCATTAAATGTAACTAAAAGTTAATTCACATGTGAAGTGCTCGAGAATGTCAGATAACGTAATATAAATTAAATCTACTTCTTTACTTATCTTTTCGCATATACACTATCACGTACTGAATACCCGGAGGTTGGACATCAGTTCGCATAAAATGACACCAAAAAGAGATTAAGATTCAAAATAAAATAAAAACATAAAATAAAATGAATTTAATAGTGGCATTTCTAAAGAGTAATTTTCGGCTATTGAAATTCCTATTATAGGACTTACGGTCAATACAGAAATGTTGATTTTTGCGGAAGGAAGAAGCTCTTGAAGTACAGGAGAGAACCAACAAACAACTCTACTCAAATAGACACACCGAGTACGGGGAAACACATCAGTAAAAAGGGTAAATTAGCAGGGTAAAAAACAACTAGTAACGATAACGAAGCAAAATACCTTTCAAGGGAAATGGTCGTCGATCATTATTAGCCGGGATTTGTCATCATTACTCAGTATTAAACTAGCATCAAGCGTCCCCCATCTCAACTGCCAATGTGATGATTTTTGATTCCATAGGTCGCAATAAAATATACAAATAAAATAGCTTTCAATTTTCGAATGAATAGGAAATGTTTCTCGCTGTCATGGTCTTAAAATTTTATTAGAGAGTTTTAGATTGACATTTTTTTCTCTCCGCAAACGGCAAACGTGACCACGTTTTCATAGTTTTCCTGTATTTTACTTTACCTTTTACAAACCTTCTCACCAAGCGCAAATACTCTTTTGTTTTTCTACTACTTGGACTTTTTTGCGATTCTTTTTCAGTAACCTAAGAGAATTTTTTACTGGTCAACTGACGTTTCACGTTTGCCGTGAACATAAATCTAAAAATCTCTATTGTCAAAAATTTGACGGAAACGCCTGACGTCGAACTGCAGTTTGACCCGGTTTGCTGTACCTAGCAAGAACATCGTGCTAAAGGTCTTTAGGCTACACAGCAACAAAAGTAAAGACTTTAGCAAGTCGACGTTCTTGCTAGGTACCGCAAACCTGCGATTCGACGTCAGGCATTTTCCGTCAAACTTTCCACATTTAGCAAGGTGTCGAAGTTGTTGCTGGAAGAGCCGCCATTTTGAATTTCATTGATGCTGAGTTTCTTTCATGTTTGCGGAGGCATTTCTGGGCCTGATCGCTAAAGGTTAGCAGTAAATGTCCTCTAACACCATGTACCTTCCCTTAATGCCGAGGATGACTATTAAAAAAACATGAATATCGATTTAAAGCAATCTGTTTATCTAGTTTTCTAAGTAATCCTCGAAAAAAGATTCAATCCTTTCTCCGGAATTTAATCGATCTTTTTTGAATTTAGAGAATTTATAAAACGATAAAATCCAAAACTGTGTTATTCATTAGAACAATTCATACTTTCCCCGGTTACAGTGAGGGAACATAGACTGGTAATGGGAAAGTTTCACTTTTGCTTACCTTATTGGTTTGACTTCAGATTAGCGGCTGAATGATGGGCTTAATCACAAATGAGGCACTACTGCAGTGAAACTATAAGATCATTCAGAGCCCTTATGACGTCATGTGATTACGTACGCTACCAAAACTCTGCCCCTTAAGGTGTAATTTAGATTACTTAACAAATAATAAAAAGTAAATCTTTGATTAATAGGGTCTTCCGTGATTACTGGGAAACAGCTTCATCTTAACTCTCATCTCGCATTAAATACAAAACTTGCGTTATGGCGTCATTAACTATACAACTACCAAATCCCATGCACGCTATTTTGTTCAGTTAATCAGTACAAATTAACTAAGTATTTTCATGAGAAAATACAATTTTGGCTTAGACAAAAAAGAAAATTCGCGAAGCATTTTGGAAGTGGTAGTAAAATAAATGACGCCATCATGGATACACAAAGGCAGTTGTAATAACCCGGATAAGCTATTTTATTTTATCCACACGTAAGTTAAAATTTCGTTGGGAAAAAAAAAAACATTTTGGTACCCAAACATGGCGCCTACGTGTTAGGAAAAGTTATTTCTAAATATTACTGTAAATATTTCTCGTATTCTGTTCGCTTGTTTCATTCAAATAACCCTGAATATTTAGTCATAACTATG